TACAAGGTAATAATGTCCGATATTCTCGTTGATTTAGTAGCCTGACTGGTGACGGTAAGCTGTTGTCTAGACTACAGGTGTTGTCCGTTATGTAAGTAACGCTAGATATGGGTCTTCACCTGCAACTTCCGACTTGCATAGTAAGTTCTTTACAGTTTGAACCATTCGTTCTACAAAACCGTTGCTTCGAGGGTACAGTGGTGAGCTTGTACTATGGCCAATGCCCCAATGTCTACAGAAGGTTGAAGACTCTCGACTGCTATATTGTGGGTCATTGTCTGATACTAGCGTTTCTGGTATTTCATATTCTGCAAATATTGACTTGAATTGGTTGATAACAGCATTTGACGTCAACTTTCGTAAAATAGGATATTTACTGTAATAATCTGCTACAAGCAGGTATTGTGCTCCTTTGTACTCAAGGTCTGTTCCAACCTTTTGCCAGGGAAAACTTGGAACGCTATGAGGGTGCAGCGGTTCTTTCGATTGCTGTTTCGATTGCAAACAGGTGGAACAAGTAGGTGAGTAGTAATAGATCCCTATATAGGGACGGAAGTAATTAGTATGCATACTTAGGTGTCGGAAATAATTAGTATGCAAAACTATGGCGTCACTCAGGCAGGCCTGGGCCAAATGTGACGGGTAGCGCGACCAGACACACATGTATTTTGATTGTTTTTTCACTTGATTAAAACATGCTCTTGCGAGAGCTCAGTCGATAGAGCAGAGGACTGTAGTTCCTCAGGTCGTTGGTTCAAGCCCAGCTCGCAAGATTTAAAAACAGGCGTTCTTTTTGGCGGGAAAATGTATATGTAGCTCGGAGGCTAATTCAAAATAACGAAGCTTTGAAAGCCTATAGCTTGGAGCCTAGTCTAAATAGCTCGGAGCCTGGCTCGGAGCCGGTCCGTTCAAAGCATCGTCTTTAGTTGACACCGCTTAGTTCATGTCTACACGGTAAAGCTACTGCCTCTTCGACTACGAAAAATGGTACATTTTGATTCTGTGGGGGAAAAAACCTTTAGAACAGTTATAATATAATTTTGCCATAAAAAAATTAATCAAATATGCGGTCGTTATATACGTTGCTATGTGTTGCCAGTCATTAGCGACGCTTGGGTACATCATAGTTAATAGAGGACAGGGTTTGGAAGGTCGGTAAACTTCAAAGGCTTTCGAGCTAACTAATTTCAGATGTTGGAAAGGTACGTCACGTGACATTTCGTGTGCATCAAATTCAGAATTACTATAGCGTAGTATTACAGAAATATGATATTGTGCTTATAAATTTTAAGATAAGGCATTGTTGTTCTTGCCATGGCTTCGACAAGTTCGGCACATGATTTAGAAAGACAAATCTCAACTCGTTTGGGCTCAGAAGTTGTCAATACAACAAAAGAGGACGATTTTCAGCAAACAATTGAATTGCTGCAAATAGACGCTGAAGAATTACTCGACGAAATATCGCATTCAGTGGAAGAAGTAAGTCACTTTATAGTGTGTATATATATCCTTTACAATAGTAGTGAGATATGTTAAACATAATCTTATCTATATCTTCTATATTTGTTTTAGCTTGAAGGTTTAAAGCAATATCCTTGCGAATATTGCTCGAACGTCTGCAAGTCTAAAGGAGGGCGTACAAAGCATACTCGCAGCAAACATGGCCAATATGATGTCGAGGCTGGTAAAGCCGAGGGTATTGAAGCTACTAAGAAAGAGAAGAAGCAAATCCCAAGCTATGTAACAGAGGAGAATATCTTGTCGTTAATTCGCGAAATAGGGAAAAGTCTGACAGATGAAAAAATCTATCCAGCCAAACAAGTAGCTGCAGTATTTAAGTTACATCCCAGTAAATCATTCATTCAAGATGTAAATGCTTTATTACACAAGTTTCATCGCAAGAAAGATCGTGATAAATTGATGCAAGAGTACTATGGGAAAATGTATGCCTCCCGGAAAGAATATTTTCATCCATGTAAAGATCAAAAAGTGGTATTTTTAATGCTAATAAATTTACCTGAACGGTTAATCATCCTAACACAAGATGGTTCTCAAGTCACCAGTGAAGATGGGGTAAGGAAGTATATAAATAATACAATATATTCATTGCATTTTTAATTACAGGTTGAGATAATATGCAATGATTCCTTCAACCATATGAACTACAGCACAGTCTGCCTTCTTCCAAACTGGTTTGCAATTTAGCCATACTTGTCATTTTCACTTCATTGTCGGACACCAGTTGTTATTTCTTGTCAAAGACAAAGGGAAGTTTTGGAGGATAAAGATATGTCTAAAAATTTTGACTGACCCTTATGACAAGTCTTATCAGGGTCCAAAGCAATTAAACATTTTCATTTCTACTTTAGAGTGAATTGTCTGGCACACCACAAGAACTTGGACCCCTTGCATATGTTGCTGGTTATGTTGCCCAAGCACTATATAGAAAAAGAAAAAACACTAAAAATGCAGACTCACAACGAAACCAAGAAATCCAAGTGTTGTTGCTTTCAATGAAAGTGCCAACTGAGGAGAACGAATATATTTCTTCACTTTCCAGAGGAGCACTGTGGGCACCACATTCCTGGTTGATAAGCATTGCCGAAATTGCTGAACTTTGCTTCAAAAAGCACACAAGAACTGGCAAACCTTCATCATTGCCTGTGGACAAAGTTGTTGAGGATGTCCAAGCTTCTCCTCGCGCAAAGTCGTTATGGAACAATATAGTTGAACAGTGTGACGTCCAAATAACAAAAGAGTGTCAATCGCTGTTCTTTGAAAACATTGTAAAACTATATGCTACTGTGAGAGGTTTCTCGTTTGCAAGAGATATTGTAAACAAGTACAGGTTATGTGAAAAAAACACAGAAAAAGAAGGCTTTGCGGAAACAGTTGAAGGTCGACAGTGAACAAATATAAATACTGTATAGCAGCCTAGACCTAGGCCTTCTAGTCTTATTTATATTTTTTTAATATTTAGCGCTTTTTCACAGGAAAAGACTGGGACTAGGTGATTTGGGGGCGGGGCGGAGGAAGCAAGCCTAGAAGGCCTAGTGGATTTCCCAACAACAAGGCCAAAACTGCCCTGAAACTGCCCTGGTTGCGAAATGCCCAATTATTGCGTTCTCGAACAGAATTATTTGCAACTTAACGGCGAATTTAAACCGATACAGGTAAAATAAACTCATTTATAGTATAAACTTACTATTTTTATTTGTATACACGTCTAGAAAATCGGGGTTTTTATCATAAAGTTCGAAGCAACACTATTATTTAATTATATGTTGACAAGGTGTAGCGAAAGCACAAAATGAGTCAAAATATATACCAAAAGTAGAATCTTTCATGAAATTTTGTCTTATACACAACTACATTAATATATATTTTCTCAATTTTGGCAAGAAGCAGTCTTGTGTTTGTAAAATATACAAACACATATACAATTATAATTTATTAAATAAAACGGATACATATATTATTAGCCCGTACAGTACTGTATATAAAAACGTACATTGTTTACAAATGGTATATCCGTAATATTTGAACAATAATTTCAAAATCCTCATACCCAATTCGCAAATATAGTTATTCAAAGCAAAACAGTAGATTGTCTAGCGAATAAAAGAATTATTATTTTGTGCCGTTTCGCTACACCTTGTCAACATATATAAATAGTGTTGCTTCAAACTTTATGATAAAAACCCCGATTTTCTAGACGTGTATACAAATAAAAATAGTAAGTTTATACTATAAATGAGTTTATTTTACCTGTATCGGTTTAAATTCGCTGTTAAGTTGCAAATAATTCTGTTTGAGAACACAACAATTGGGCATTTCGCAATCAGGGCAGTTTCAGGGCAGTTTTGGCCTTGTTGTTGGGAAATCCACTAGGCCTTCTATTTTTTCGCTTGCGTCAGGCTTGTGTCCTTCCTCCGCCCCGCCCCCAAATCACCTAGTTCCAGTCTTTTCATGCGAAAAAGCGCTGAATATTAAAAAAATATAAATAAAAATAGAAGGCCTAGGTCTACGCTGTTGCAAGCCGTATCTTTCGCCGAACATTATACCTCTACCTGTCACGTTTTAGGAAGAGTTACTATTTTTAGACTTTGTAATTTTGTATTCTTTTGTATTTTAAACTTAACCCCAATCCTAACCCTAACCCTTACTCCAAGCCTAACCATAATCTTAATCATAACCCTAATCCTAACCCTTTCCCAAATCCAAACCCTAATCCTAACCCTAAAAATCTAAAAATAGTAACTGTTCCTAAATCGTGACTCATATGCCGAACATAACTTCAGTCCCTTCGAAAAATATCTTTTTCATTGTAGTCTTGTTGGAATCACAATCAAAAACACTGTTTAGAGTGTTATTTCAAGCCTAGACCTTCAGTTTTTCATCTTTTATTTCGGTATTTTAATCTGCAGTAGTAGGGTACTCAGCGGAATATTTTTAAAGGTCAAATTACAACTGTTACTCCTTATTAATACAGGTAATTAATATTTATCAATTTTAGCATGCGAATGCGAGTAAAAACCCGATATTTAGAAAACATCAAAATAAATATTCTACTCACCGTATTCCGACGAAACTTTCTACGTGGAAGCGCTTGAATACAAGGAGTATTTTACTCGATTGACTAGGCCCAGTCTAGGGGGAATTCGGCATTGAATAATACGGAGTAACAGTTGTAATTTGACCTTTACTGTAAAAATAGCGACCTTAAGATTCTACGACGCGGCGGCAGCATAGAATAAGAAATGAATAAAAGGCAACTCGCGTGTACAAAGCGTAACCAATTTTCAGTCCGCAAGCGCGGAATTCTCAAGCTCGCAGCCAGTAAAAGCCAGTCAGTGCAATATGGATTTGTATTACGAAATGTACATTTTGATCACAAAATCGACTATTTTTCGGAAACAAAGGATTGGAATATCAAACTACTACAACTGCCTGCAGAGGCAATGTAAGCTTAAATTATTATTGTGGTTAGCATAGAAAAAAACGAATATTTAGGGAGAAATTTGATATTGTTGTGTGAGCTACAGTCTGAATCTGAATGAAATGCTGACAGTCGATCGCGTATACTGTGTTATTTATTTCGATTTTCGAGGTTTATGTCAAATCTTATCAGTACAGGTTTTGGATTGCATCAAATTTTATTTAAAAAAGTATAAATTCCAAAGTCACAAGCAATTAATCAAATTTATTTCGTGCGGGAAGTTGTCTGTCTGTGTCTGACATGTTGAACTACAAATACAAACAATATCAGAAAATGATATTTATTTATGTAATTAAAATATCATGATTATGAATTAACATTCATTCCTATTACTACAATATTACTTCGAAGACATCGAATTTTTCCAATAAATAAACCAAACTAGACATATGTTAATATATTGTACTTTATACTTTGTACTTTGTAAGTAAACAACATGTATTAATACGTTTAAATTTCGCATTTAGCAATTCTTTTACAGCTCATAACCAACAGAAATGTATTCACTAACCTTCAAATTACAACCAGGAGCCGTGGTTTGTAATTTGAATCGTTCGTTTGCGAAAAATAGCCGATTTATTCAGCCAAATGGCCATTCTGCAATACAAATGTCTAATAAATTAACTGGCTTTACTGGCTGCGAGTAATTAGAGCGGGCAATTTCCGGTATGCGCAAGGCGACATGCGCGGCTTCAAAAACTACAAACGTTTCGACGCGAGTTGCCCTTCTATTCATTTCTTATTCCATGTCAAAGCTTTCAAGGGTAAAAATCGAGCCTTAAAGGACAGTCTTGCAAAGGACAGTCTTGCAATATGGTCAAAAACAAAATCCAAAGGAGGCTTGGAAAACAATAAACAACTTACTAGGCAGACAGAACAAACCAACAGAAGTAAATGATTTAAGTATAAGTGGAAATAATTTAACAAATTCAGAAGACATTGCAGAGGGCTTTAACGAATTCTTTTCAAATATTAGGCCTGACTTAGCTAGCAAAATTGATACTTCGAATTACAATTTTCAAGAGTATATTAAGAAACCTAAATCAGAATTCACTGCATTTGAGTCAAGTACCACCAACAAAGTTTATTATCTCCTACGTGGCCTCTCTAGTGCAAAAGCCACTGGCATTGACAAAATTTCAAGTAAAATTTTAAAACTAGCAGCACCTGCTATCTCCAGTTCTTTAACTTATATTTTTAATCAGGCTATTACACTATGCACTTTTCCCGATGACTGAAAAATGGCAAGAATACACCTCTTTATAAAAATGGCCAAAAAAAGTTGCCTGGTAACTACAGACTAATTTCTGTTTTGCCAGCTGTTTGCAAAGTTATGGAAAGAATTTTATATGACCAACTATATGATTATTTGACGAAATAATCATACATAATGATTGTCAATTTGGCTTTCGCAAATCTCACTCAACTGCTACAGCGTCACTAGACTGTACTAATAGTTGGTATATGAATATTAACAAAAGATTATTTAACTTAGTTGTACTAATTGACTTAAAAAAGGCATTTGATACTGTCGACCACCAGGTTTTACTAAAAAACTCGAAATTTATGGCGTAAAAGGAGATGCTTTGGCTCTACTAAAATCGTACTTGATAAATCGCACTCAGAAACGCCAAGTTAATGGAACTATTTCATCGGAGCGGTTGATTAAGTGTGGTGTGCCACAAGGTTCTATTTTAGGGCCATTATTCTTTTTATGTAAGAGTTAATTACCTACCGAGAACTAGGTTTCTTAGCGAGAAACAACACGAGGGGCGTGACCCAAAGGGCAACGCTCCCGAGGGATGTTTGAGAAACCGATGTTCGAGGTTGGATTATTCAGGGTAAATAAACTTCCCGGTTAGATCGCGAGACACGGAACCGTATAAATCAATGAATATTGATAGGTTTTTATTCGATCTAGTAAGTAATTATAAGGAATAACAATTGTAAGTATAGAATAACAAATAGTGCGTGATATATACCTGTGCGCTCTCTTCGAGTTATATACCGCATAATTTCAATAAATGAGACTTACTTCTTTGCCAGGTCTTCGCAATCTAGTCTTACTGATACTGAATATACAAATACACATACAAATACAGGTTAGCTTCAACACAGGTTAGCATATCTCCTTCGTTTAACAGTATAAGTCTCTGTCTCAATCTATCTGAATATAAATGTGCGTCAAATTACGTGTCAATCAGGTTAATCTCATTAGTCATGCATTACTATAATTAGTTAATAATTATCCCGTAAAATATATAAAGTTCTGTCAGCGACACATCCTCCGCCCCCATAAGGACTATGTTCTTATCAATTCTTTTCTTCTGCGTCTTCTACTGGTTGAATCACTGCGATCTTGGTCACGGGCCTCGAGTACTCTCCTGACGCCGTTTTTACCTTGTTGTTTCTCACCTTACTGTCTTGTCCTGGATACACTTCAACTACGCGTCCGACATTCCACTTTCCTCGTACTGCATTACCGTCCGCTACTATTACTACATCATCAACCTGTACATTTCGTCTCTCTGTGTTCCATTTTCTACTTGGCACGAGTAACGGGAATACGTCCCTTGTCCATCGTCTCCAGAATGACTCAACGATTTTTTGGATAAACTCGACTCTTTTTCTTGGATTTTTCGTTTCCTGAAATGGGCCTTGTGGTACTTGTGGAGATGCTCTGCCCAATAGCATATCATTCGGACACAGATAGGAACCATCGTCTGGATCATTCGGTGGCCTTCCGATTGGTCTTTGGTTGACAAGGTTTGCCACCTCTAGCAAGCAAGTATACAGTTCGAAAGGAGTCAGTACGTGCTCACCAACTGCTTTCTTTAGGGCTAATTTGCAGCTTTTCACTAATGCCTCTGCACATCCGTTCTGATGTGGTGCTGCTGGGGTTATAAACTTCCACTGTACTTCAGTACCTTCTTGTCAACTCCTTGGATCATTTGGCGAAGGTCGGTTAATGCACCCACAAACTGAGTACCATTGTCGCTCAAAATCTCGGCTGGATATCCACGTATGGCAAAGAACCTTCGCAGTGTCTGGATAAACTCCATCGCAGAGCAATCAGTGGCAACTTCCAGATGAACAGCTCTGGTATTTAGGCACGTGAAAATTACCCCGTAATGTTTCGTTGTCTTGTTCCGTCCTACTTTGACTGTTATTGGTCCAAAGTAGTCACATGACGTGTAGTGGAATGGAGGGGAATGGGGGGTCAGTCGGCAATTTGGGAGGTTTGCCATTATCTGCGTTTCGATTTTTGGATTCGCTCCTCGACATGTTACACACTTTGATTTTATGATCTTGGCTAGGTCATGTACCCGCACGATCCAGTACATTCTTCGGATCTTTGCTGCTGTGGTTGCAACGCCAGTGTGACCTTGTTGATGAACTTCTTCTGTAATCAATCTGGAAATGCGGTGACCATAGGGTAGGAGAGCTGGATGCCGTGTTTCGTACGAGACTAACGCATTATCGATTGTTCCACCAACACGGATTATACCTTCTTTATCTTCGAACGGGCTTAGCGTCTTCAGTTCATTGGCTTTCATTCTAACTTGAAGACCCTTTTGGGCTTCTTTTATCCAAAAGATTCGACTCTTTTCAAGCTCTTCCGGTGTCAGTGATTCTTCTCCTACTGCAATGTCGTTGGATGGCTTTATCTTAGCAAGTAAGTTCTTTTTCATCCTTAGTACCCACGCTGTAACTCTAACGAGTCTTCCCCAACGAGAGAACCTTTCGCAATCGATCACGCCCGTCTTAGCTGTTTCTTTTGATGTCACAGTTCCTATTGCTTGTGTTTTCTTGCATTCTCATTCGACTTCGTCCTGGTCAACGTTCGCGCTCTCTATTGGCCATTCTTCTTTCGGTAGGTGCAGGAACGCTGGACCGTTCTTCCACCTCCCTGATAATTCAGAAACCGATAAACCTCGTGATACATCGTCTGCAACATTATGCTCGGTAGGGATGTGTCTCCATTGGGCAGGTTGGACGTTGGTCTGTATTTCCCCGACACGACTTGAAACAAATGGTTTGAGCCTTTTTCCTTTACTACGGATCCACGCTAAGGTAATCGTACTGTCGGTGAACAATATACTTTCTTGAAGCGGGATGCGAACTTCTTTCTGTATGGTTTTGCACAACCTACTGGCTAACACCGCTGCCTGAAGTTCTAGCCGCGGAATAGTCAGTTCCTTCAATGGGGCTACTCGTGATTTAGCTGCAACGAATCTAACATGAACTGATCCAGTGGGGTCTTCGCTTCTGAGATACGCACATGCCCCAAAGGCTCCGCTCGAAGCGTCAGCAAAAACGCACAAGGTTGGTGGTTCACGGGTGACGATTGGACATATGCATCTTTCTAACGATATGTTGTTCAGCTGCTCCATTTCTTCCATGTATGATAGCCACTTTCTTTGAGCATTCGGTGACAGTTCATCATCCCAGTCAAGTCCCTCCTGCCATAACTCTTGCAAACCAATCTTTGCCCTTACCAGATACGGTGCTGCGAAGCCTATCGGGTCATATATTCGGGCGACTTGGCTAAGGATACTTCTCTTGGTGAGCTTTGGATTTTGGGTTATGGTCACATCGACTTTCACTTTGTACTTGAGCACATCATCTTTATTATTCCAAACTACGCCGAGCACTTTTGCGTCTTGTTTACTTTGAGGAACGTTTATCTCTTCATCTTTCTGGTTGCTAGTTTGGTTCAGCTCTTCGTTGGACTGCCATCCCTTTACCTGGAATCCGCCTTTCTCGAGGATGCAATCAATCGCAGTTGTTAACTCTCTGGCTTCTTGGTTCGTGGAAACTGAATCAAGGATGTCATCCATGTATGAATTGTCCCTTATAACTTGTGCTGCTCTCGGACTCTCCGATTCTCCTTCTTCCGCCGTTTTTCGTAACGCAACTTGCGCCATCGCTGGTGCGGGCTTGTCACCAAACGTGAGTACATTCATGACATAAGTGTCCGGTGGTCGATTGATCTCTTAATCCCTCCAAAGGAATCGGTGTACATGTTGGTCTTCCAGGGGGATGAGGACTCTGTGGTACATCTTTGATATGTCAGCAGTGATTGCAACTTTATTCTCTCTAAACCGAAGAACAAATCCGAATAGACCATTTAGAAGATCTGGGCCCTTCTACCAATAGTCATTGAGTCGATGTCCTTGGTACGTAGAGGATGAATTAAACACGATGCGGACTGGGGTGCTTGTGTTGTCCGGTCTTAATACGGCATGGTGTGAGATGTAGTGGATTGGTCCTTTGTAATACGGAGCAGCTTGCTCAGGATTCTTTAATAACCGACGTTCCGTTGACTCCAGGCGTTTCATGGCTTGATTCTTATTGTCTGGCAAGTCCCGAGGGTCTTTCTTCCATGGATATGGAATCATCCACTGATTTCCAATCTTTTGAGTAGACTCTTCTATCACTCGCTTTTCTTCTCTTTCCATTTGGCTCAGCTTATCTGCGTCACAAGTGCAAGGCTTAACTTCCACACCCATGGTTTCGGTCTTCCAAAAGTCCGACAGATCAACCGGTGCTGTATATTTTACGTGTAGGACAGTGGTGATTGTGTTGCTTAATTCTCCCGTTGTCGAACCAAATATGACCCATCCCAATGGGGATCTTCTGGCGACTAGGTGGTCGGCTTGCTTTGTTTGACCGGTATGCATGTGTGCATGGTCAATCCCGATGAGCAGATCGACATGTCCTTTGCCTCGTCTAACTACTTGGTCTTTTGGTAGGCCAAGTTTCTCAATGATAGTTCCGGTTTGAACACTTTTAACTTCCTCGCTAATACATGGAATACCAATTGCTCTCACAGAATGTTTCTTTGGGTCACCGATTCCGCTTATTGGTACTTTGTAAATTTTCGTATGAATTGATTCCTCTTCTCCACCTACTTTGATTATGTTCACTGAGATGTCTCTCCCTTTCAGTCCGAGGCTGTCTGCTGTTTCGCTCCGTATTAAACTTATCTGCGCTCCTGAATCCAGAAGGACGTTCCCACGCTTGTACAACCCGTTTGGACCGCAGATGTTGGCAGCAATCACTGGCAACATAGAATCTTTCTGGCTGGTAACAGATGCTAAAGTGACACCCACTGCGCTCGATTTATGTAGCAAAGGATGGTGGCTGAAGGTACACTGGCTTCCGTTCTCAACTTTGTTGCATTGCTTTCGCCGACTGCAGTTTGCTTGACGATGATCTCGACCCGCTTTCTTTAAGCAGCTGAAACAAACGTGATTCTCTTTCGCCGCTACGAGTCGCTCTTCAACACTCATTGCTGCAAGCTTCTGACACTGGTCTGGCCAATGACTTGAGTTGTTGCAAAGCCAACACTTGTTTCTGCTCTTATTCCCGCCTTCGATTTCGCCGTGCAAGTGATTGATTTTGCGTCGATTTGTTAAACCACTTCTAACTGGAGCTGTCGCACGCATGCGCGACTTCATCTCGCTCGTCATCCACGTCATCAAAGCATTCAGTGTTGCTGGTTTTCGCTCTCTTTCTAAATCTCTTGACCAAACTTTTCGATCATCTGGGCACATCTTTTGTTCAACTATTGATAGCATGTGGCTGTTGTCCATGTCGCTCGGAACGCCAACCTCCTTTAGCGTGTTATAGCTACGTCTCACCAAATGAACAAGGTCGCAAAAACGCACATCTTCGCCTTCTTCTAACGGTTTAAATTTTGCTATGTCCTGAGTAATGGTGTCAGAAACAAACCGCGGGTCCCCGTATATTGAATCTAAATATTCCCATGCCGCGTCATAGTCGGAACCAATTCCCTTTATTAGCTCAAGCGGCTTTTCTTTCAGACAAGTACGTAGCAATGTTATCGCGTCTCTTTTCGAATATCTTGATTCGATCGCGTGTTTGAAATCTGCGCGAAAAATTGCATATTCCCGCACGTCACCACAAAATTTGGGCAATTTTGGTTTTTCCATTCGGAAACCACATGGGGTTGAATTATAAGCAGGTCCTGCTTCATTACTAACTTCTGGTTGGGACGCGCTTTGGCTTGCGTTTTGTTCAAGATTATTTTGTAGGAACTCAGGTGGGCTGTTGACCGATTCGATAGAAACTTCGTCATTAATGCTAGGATTTTCCTGGGGCGTCGAAATGTCAATCACGTTGTTTTCATTGCTGACACTTGGCTCCGACATTTCAGGGCTCGTATTACTTGCGCTCGGTGGGTTCTGCATTCCAATCATTCCTGAGGAATTTTGCGGGTTTTCCTCAAGGCTACTTTTGCTAATTTTCGCAGAAACATTTTCTATATAACACTTTGCATCGATATCAAGTTTTAAAAAGAATGTTTGACATTCATCTAACCACTGTTCTTCCTGTTCAAACTGTTCATCTTGATCAATTAAATTTGCATATAGCTCATGTTTTGAAACCACGTTATCAAAGGCTTGTTCTACTTTAATGAGATAATTGCTTACCTCTTCAGCCGGTCTTTCGTTCTCGCACAGATGATTCAGCGCTTTTCCCAGTCTTGTCAACGCAGCCTTTGCGGATCGACGCTGTATCTTGGCTGCCTTCAACGCCTCGCTTGATTCACTCATAGTATAAATCCAGAATTTCCACCAGTATTTGTTCGCCAGAAATCGAATGTTGTGGATTATTCAGGGTAAATAAACTTCCCGGTTAGATCGCGAGACACGGAACCGTATAAATCAATGAATATTGATAGTTTTTATTCGATCTAGTAAGTAATTATAAGGAATAATAATTGTAAGTATAGAAAAACAAATAGTGCCTGATATATACCTGTGTGCTCTCTTCGAGTAATATACCGCATAATTTCAATAAATGAGACTTACTTCTTTGCCAGGTCTTCGCAATCTAGTCTTACTGATACTGAATATACAAATACACATACAAATACAGGTTAGCTTCAACACAGGTTAGCATATCTCCTTCGTTTAACAGTATAAGTCTCTGTCTCAATCTATCTGAATACAAATGTGCGTCAAATTACGTGTCAATCAGGTTAATCTCATTAGTCATGCATTACTATAATTAGTTAATAATTATCCCGTAAAATATATAAAGTTCTGTCAGCGACACAGAGGTAATTAACTGATTTAGTTCAAATTTGTAAGGATTTTAAAAAATTATCATACTTACGCCCTCTACTGATTAAGGAATTCAAATGTATACATGCATGTACAGGGTGTCCCAAAAAAACGAAAACTATTGAAATCACCAATAACAATTTAATTGTTAGAATTTGAATGCCTTAGCACTCCGTTGGTTCCCACGAGTGCATAAATGATTGACATAAGTAAATGTTACGCATAAAGAAACTGTTTAAGAAGCTGTTTTAAATTCCCAAGAGCAGAAAATCGCGCACTTTACAAGGAGATGTTTTTAACTAAATTTTAATACATGCACCTTGTCAATATTTTACGCATCATTACGTTCAGCTGTTTGGAAGGGCATTCAATTTTTAACAATAGTGATTTCAATAGTTTTTTTTGGGACACCCTGTACAGTGTAAGCATAAACTAAATTACTTACAAGGCAGAACAAGGAAATGCTTTGTAAATTTTCTTTTGTCGGTATACGTTAAAGGAGACTGGCAATATATTTTGACATCTCATTTTTCTTTAAGATTTTACTCAAACTAGTCATGAAACAATAAATGACACCTTTGAAAGCCTTTTATTTACGTAATAACACACTTGGGCTTAGCTCTAAACTACACTACCCCCGCCATTTTGTAATACTGAATTATAAATGCTTTATGCTAATTTATGCAAGTATTTTTTTGTGACGTCACAAGCAGGGTAACACTTTGAGTCGTAGTATCTTTACAGTATAAATATAAGACATGCATTGTCCAGTTTATGGCTGTTCAAGCGATAGCCAAAAGAATGAAGACGGTTTGTTGCATTTTTTTGAATTCCCAAAAGCGTCAAAAGGTCCTGAGGAAAAGAAAAGGCGGGATGTCTGGATAAACTTTTGCAAACGCAAAAGTTTTAACCCAACCAAGAGCACGCGTATCTGCTCTTTACATTTCAGAAACGACTCATATATTCTTGCCAATTCGCCAGAATTTTTAAAATCGATTGAATTTTCTGGGAAACGAAGATTAAAGTTAAAGGATGATGCTGTTCCAACATAAAATAAACCATTGGATGGAACGAGTGAAGAACAAAATGTGAAAAGATCAGTTGCAACTCTGTCAAGACGAAGGGTAGGCTATACGTTTTAATATTTAATTATAAGCACGCGTCTATCAATGTTTATACGTTTAAAACGGTTTTGTTTTCTTTTAAAGGCTAAGACAAATATACATGTTTTTAGCTGCAACCATATATTGTGTTGAAAGTAAATATTGTTTTCGTACTAGGAAGTTGAAGATATACTCAATGCAGACACGGTTGCTGAAAATGCCAATGTTATTTGTGAACAACCAATCCATTCGGAGAGTCATGAAGAAATCCTAACAGTAACACGCAATGAAACAATTTGCGAAAGTTTCATGCCCCAGGAACCAGTGACAGTAACGATTAAATCATCTTACATCCAGACCGACGAACAGTTCGTAAATCAGTGGCCAAAAAAAAAAATAAGATGACTCAAACATGCAAACTTCCAGCTACTGTTACAAGTAACAAGACAAAGACAACGTCAAAAAAACCTCAAACCTATTTAACAAATGAGTGTTTATTGCAATATATTGCCGCCGCGAAGCCCAAAGTACTAGTTTGTTCTTCCACACAGACAGCTCTGATTGAAAATGAACTTGTACCCAACACATCCCAACCAGAATTAGATTCAGACCCGATTGACAAACACTCATCCTCAGACGAAGAGTATCAGTCAGATGTAAGCGATCTCGAAAGTGACGAAGGAATTAACGGCGATAGAGGCGAGTTAATAACGCTGTCTAGCAATAAGCCCTAACATCATCAAATGAAGTTTATTGTATTCGAAGAGTCAATTGTTAAAAGATTCGGGGTCTGTTCGACATGTAGATCTACTTGCACTGTATCACTACAACGCAACATTGGAACATATTGCAAGATAGCTGTGCATTGTAGTGCTGATTCTTCCCATAATTTTACTTGGTCGACAGGTCCTTTATGCAATCGATTGCCCGTCTTACATTTGATGATCGCTTCAAGTGTTCTATGTACAGGCATGGAATGTGCAAAAGCGCTTAGATTATTCGATTCCTTAAAAATTATGTGCTTCAAGAGAAGGGAGTTCTCCAATCTTCTGACCGGCTATGTTATCCCAGCTGTTTTCAACGTCTGGAAAGGGCAGCAGCAGTGTTTGCTAAATAGCATTAAGGACATCCCAATTTGTATTGCGTCTGACATGCGAGTGGACAGTCCTGGGCACAGTGGACTGTTCGGCTCAGGGAGTAGCTTAGATGTTGACAGAAATATAATTCTGGACACTCAAGTTATTAAGGTAATTGAAGAAATATACAATCTATCTGAAATTGACACCTAGACTCCTATATATTTAATTAAGCGTGCATGGTTTCCATAATTATGGTCGTAAAGATTGAGTCAAGATCTTTCTCATCAGCTGATACCTCGCGAAATACAACATTTTAGAACTGAGAACTGCGCAGTGATTATAACTAGACAATTACTTATTATTTATATGTGGTTTACCCGTATAAACTATTATAAACTGGCACTTTTAGAAAGATCGTAACTTTATTTTTACGACCATTATGAATGTTAATTAATGTAGAGCATGCACCGAAGTAAAGAATTCGAATGCGATGGAACTGGAGTCCCTAAACCTACGTTTACACGCTGCGATTTGTCGGGCCGATTTTGGTAAATAATCGTTGTCCCTTCTTCGACATTTAGCGATTTAAACGTTCAATTGAAGCTGTCCGCTCTCTCGTCTGTTTATGAATCGTGAATCGCAAGGTGCTGACGCGAGTACTCACGACAGGTTATTTACAAACAGCGAGCAAAATCGGCCCGACAAATCGCAGCGTGTAAACGTACCTTAAAACGACAACTGGCGTATTTGGAGCAATCTGACGTAAACGTGAAAAAGCTGGTCACAGATAGGCATTCTCAGGTTTCGTCTTACCTCGCACAAGAAAAGCCGGATATTGAAAACGCATACGACGTTTGGCATGTAGCGAAAGGTATTGTACTGTTTACTATATACAAAATCACAAGAAATAAACTTACTATAATAGGACTTACTGTGCGCTACGGTGGCCCACAAGGGCAACGTCAATAATAAATCAGATATCAAATTCAAATTCCTTACTTCAAATTCAAATTCATCACTCCAAATTCAAATTCCTCACTCCAAATTCAAATTTCTCATTCCAAATTCAAATTCATCATTGGTCAGCGGAAACAATCTCAAATAAAGTACAATACTTCATAGCTCTATTAGTTATAAAGTGTTCAGTGCTTCCACTTGCAAGGATTTTTCCCTGCACCCACTTTGGTATAGATTTGTATTACAATATGCATAGTTAATATAGACTACGTTTCTAACCGTTTCTACCGTTCTACGTTTCTACCGTTCCGTTTATAAAAGTAGCCTCAAGGTATTTTAAAACTAACCTCAGTACGCTTTCGTTCACAATGTAGCTGCTTCATTTCTTCAAATTTCCTGAGAATAGTTCGTCCAGTAACAGTAATTCTTGTATATTTTGAGTTGATTTTGTATGAAAGTAGCAAAACGAGCTCGTGCTGGTAAACAAAGTCTGAGGCTCTCCACTCCTTCAAAGTTGTAAATCCCGTTTCGTGGTGTTATAAAGTCATAATACTCCAAAGTGTTTTGCTCAAAATTCTTCTTGTATGCTTCTATCTTTGTGATTGTAAAACTGGCCCGGTTAGAAACGTAGTGAAGGCAAAAAACGCGAAAAACTACCATATTGTAATACAAATCTATGCCAAAGTGGTTCCGGGAAAAATCCTTGCAAGTGGAAGCACTGAACACTTTATAACTAATAGAGCTATGAAGTATTGTAGTTTATTTGAGATTGTTACCGCTGACCAATGATGAATTTGAATTTGGAGTGAGGAATTTGAATTTGGAGTGAGGAATTTGAATTTGGAGTGAGAAATTTGAATTTGGAGTGAGAAATTTGAATTTGGAGTGAGAAATTTGAATTTGGAGTGAGAAATTTGAATTTGGAGTGAGAAATTTGAATTTGGAGTGATGAATTTGAATTTGGAGTGATGAATTTGAATTTGGAGTGATGAATTTGAATTTGGAGTGATGAATTTGAATTTGAAGTAAGGAATTTGAATTTGATATCTGATTTATTATTGACGTTGCCCTTGTGGGCCACCGTAGTGCGCGATATGAAATTGACTAGAAAGCGTGAGTGCTTGTATTAAAGTCGTAAACAACGTAATTAATAAATACCATTACATAATTTATAGTTCTAATTTAATACGAATCAGTTATTACTGTAACATACCGTAATGAATTGTAACACTGAAATACCTCGGCAAACTTGAGTATTGTGTTTGTAAATTATTTAATTTGTAAAACGAATACAGCATTGCATTTTAAAGATTTGAAATGTACGACTTGAAATGTACAACTTTTTCGGCATGTGACAAATAAATGAATCAATTGGCCGTGACTAACATTCCGCTTTCGTTTATTGGGCAAATAAATGGGGATTTTCCCAGTGTAGGACACCAGCCGGGTAAAATCACTAGCTATAATATTATTTGTACAAATCACTTATTGTACATGCTCATGCATTTTTTTAGGAGAGAAAAAACGGTTGCTGAAAAATAAAGAAGTTTTCTTTGACTGGGCCTTTATGATGCAAACTTAAAGTGCGTGTACAGAGGGCCCACTATACCTCTTCACAATATGCTTTCACGTAAAAATATTTTGCCTTTTCACGAGTCACGGATTAAGAAAATCATCGATCACGTTTCACGGCTAAGTAAAATAAGCCCTTCACGCTTCACGCAAAAAGTATAGGGGGCCTGATCACGTTTCACGGCTAAGTAAAACAAGCCCTTCACGCTTCACGCAAAAAGTATAGGGGCCCTCTGTACAGTCCATCAGGAGAAGCGAATTTCTTTCGTATACATGTATAAATACAAGATGGAAACACTCTCCGGCATTTCTTGCCTAAAATTTGAAAAATCCATCTCGAACATCGTCGATATGCAGATAGCCGATAAAGTTTGTGCGTTCTAGCAAGGTCGTCATCATCATGCGGAGAATTGTCTTCCAAGTATTGTGCGACATCAACTTCGAGCACATCTTGCGACAACATGTTTTGCACGAAAGCAGGCAATAATGAAATACATGTTAACCCTTGATTCTGAGCTGATATTAGCTTTGCATCATATTCATCGTATTCGACGGCTTTTTCATGACAACAAAAGCTTTCGATTGTTTTGGTCATAATCTGACACTGACCACATTTACACCACTGAAGAGTTGTTAGTCGCCACGAATTAATTCCTTCAAATTCTTCATTGGGGTTATCTTCTGTCGAAGTTGATTCACAATCCGAATCTTCACTATTTCGTCATCTGGATTTGGTTCGAACATGTATGGCTGTATTTCGTATCCTTTAACGTCCTTTTCGTTGGCAGCTTCCATGTTTACAATATTATGCGAAAACAACGCTAGTTTCTTCCCCTGCTTATGACGTCACATGCGAATTGTAATTACGAAATTAATTTTTTCTCATCGGATTTCAAAATGGCGCACTTTCAATATGAAATTGACTCTTGCAAACATCTTTAAAGCGGCAGTGTCACCGGCTGCGCATCCGTTCTGCGCATAGATCAACTTGAAAAAGTTGACCCAACTTTTTCAAGTGTATCGAATTTCAATATGGCGTCTGCCCGGGGCGTCATGCTGACTCAGTACGGGGGTTCAAGGAAAAATGCTGGTCGAAAAAAGGTGTTTTCGAGCCGAAAAGAGTACAGAAATTTATGGGAGAAAGAGCACAGAAGGATCTATTTAAGTGATAAGACATTTGATACGTGGCAAGAGGCCAAAATAAGTGGTGGATATGAACATTCAAATGACACTAACTTTGCTGCACATCTGTTGTCATTGGAATTTCGCCGCAGGTAGGTTTACAATATGATTTTCAATATATTTCGAAGAGTAAACGAGCCTAATGTGCAATTTATTTTGCTTTGTATTTAGGGGAATCAGCGTCTGCAAAAATACTACCAAAACAACGACGAAATTCAAGCACATCGATTCTGGACCTTTCTGGTGGCAACTGAGTCCTGTCTTGACAACGGAAGCAGAACACAATGAGTCTCATATGGTTTGAAGAACAAGCAAACATCAGCCAAGGTATGAAGAGGACATTCACTTTTATATAGGATGTGCTTTGTAATGGGAGTAATATTAATATTCAGTTTCAAAATAAGATTTTGCAAGGTATATAGACAGAAAAATTGTGTCAAAAATTATAAAAAGAATTGGTTTATATTTGTATATTAATTTACAGCATTGACCACAAGTATTAGTGCTGTATAATATTTCATATTTCCTGCTTTCAGAACCCCAAACATCTACACCATTAAAAATAAAGGTCAGATGACAAACCCTTTCTCGTGTTGAGTCACCTGTACAAACTACAAAGTCATGAGCCTTTCCAACAACAGAAGGACCAGGCAGTGGGATGTGAAAAGTGTGAAAGTTGGAAAAGGATTCGAGTGCATTCCAGTTCTCATTTCAAAGGTTATCCAACGAGCAACAGATTGACTGCATGATGATGGTTATGTCACCTGCCATGTGTCCTTAAATGCAACATTGCTCCCCACTGTTGCACATATATCACTCCAGCAACATATATCACACCAGCAATGGTGTGGACATACCAAAACGAAAATACTGATTTTTGCCATAACTGATGTAACAGTGACACATTCCAATTTTGTACACAATATAAAAAATCTTTATTACTTACTATATACATAGGTACATAAATTAGAATATAAATTATTAAAATCAAATTCCCTTTGCTTTAGAAAGTTTACCAAAGGTTCATGAATATTATTGTTCTCTGTACCACATATAAACTTCAGTCAAATGTCTTATTTTGAGGACTACACAAGAGGGGCAAACACTGCGATTCCCTTTGCCCAAATATCCGTGCCGAGCCCATGTGTGAACATAATCCGTAGTCCTTATTCCTCTTCCTTAGGCTTCTAATTGCCAGTTTTCTCACTGTGTCTTCATCCAGTGTATGAATAAATGCCTGTGAATTTAATAATGTATTTTATAATAAAATAATGAAATGACTATCCAACAGCTTTACCAATTTCTAGCATCAAAGCAAGATAATTGGTCTTGTATGGGTTTAAGTCATGCTATTTTTTCCATCACAAAGCCTCGCTTTGATATCAAAGCAAAGCTTTTGGTGAGAACAACAAAATGGCCTGATACACGGTTCACATGCACAACAGCACAAGCCCCAT